GTCCATGCGTGATTGGATTGCCCATCCACATGAGTCAGTTCAACACGGCCATACAACAAAGAAGCATCCTCGAAATGTCCTGACCTTGTAGTAGAAACAGCCTGACCGTCTTCAAACAACCTGAGAGTCCTGCTGAGAGTCCTGCTGGGATCCTGACTCCTGCGACTCGGTGACCAACGGAAGCAGGCGCTTCTTCCGCCACCTCGCGGGGGTGGGCGAGCCGTCCGCGTTGACATCCGAGTCGGTTGGCCTCGCCCGCTTGGCCACCGCACGCTCCTGTCCTCTCTTGAATTGTTCCACCTCCTCGGTGCGTGGCATCCTCTTCTTACGGGCGCTGCTTTGCGGGGATGAGGCGCCGCCGGGCCGGTGCTGATTCTTGAGACTGTCCCAAGAGCACCCGGCCGGCGAGGTGGACGGGCCCCCTCTGTTGCTGTTGCGGGCGCTAGCACTCGTGGGAGAGTGAGCCGATGAGACGGATGCCGTGCGCGACCGGCTCTGACGAGGGTTGAAATCTTCCCCGGCGACGAACAGAGAGACGGTGGGAGGGGACGACGAGGTAGGTTCGCCACGCGAATAGGTGAAGGACTCGTTGATGTCTGTTTGTGAGGAGATGGGAGTCGTGTTGGAAGACCCCCGTGGAGTGGGAGGCGCCCGGGAGTTTGATTGGGCTGTGGAAGCACGAAGTCAGCTTACCGGGCGGCGTGCCAAGAGGTCCACAAACAATACTCACAATCCGATGATGCCGTGCTCCCATTCTCAGAGGCCTGCGATGCCTGCGATGCCTGAGACGCAGAGCCCATTGTCACGAACCTGCTCCTGCGGGATCTGCGGCTCGAGCCTAGATCGACACCCGTCCAGTTGTTCAATCCTGCGGCCGTCGCTCCCGGCCCGAACTGGAAGTCCGGGTCTTCAGGGACCACCATCAAGACCGTGTCGCGAGGCCCCGTGGGAGGGTCGACCATGGCATGCTTGGGCAAAATACCGACCACGGTACCCATGCTGCATGCGAAGTTGCTGTTGCGCCGGAAGGGCGACTGAGGGGACTGGGCGAGCCTTCTGTACCTCTGCGCGTACGGGCTTTCGGTGATCGGGGTGATGACAAAGATACAAAAGCCATGGTTGCCCTTTGCGAATGTGGTGTAGCTGTTGCCTGGATCGATGTAGGTAGACAGTTGGACGAAACCACAAAACCTTCTCGTCACGGGGGTCAAGTATCCCTTCCTCAGAAGTGTCTCGCCGGAGCCGCTGACGATACCTTGAAAGCTGACGCACGGGTCTTTCGGAAACAGCGTAGGTGGCAGATAGTTAACCGAGATATTGACGTCTTCATCGTACCCAGTGTCAACCACGGTTCTGCTATTGATTAGATCGTTGCATCAGGCCGAAATGGACGATGATGTGAAGCCTCACTTTCTGTAGCAGCCGTCGCGAACGAGAAGGACTGGCGCTGTGTAGTTCCTGTCATCAGGTCCTTCCTCATCCTGGTTGGGAGCTTGGGTGTTGGCGGATTCGCCGTCCTCCTGGTTCTCGCTGATCGTGACTGGGTTCTCCGGTGTGGTCCCTTCAAGGTCCATATTTCTCCAGTTCAGCTGGTATGGATGCAGGGGTCCACTAATTTCCAAATAGAGATTGCTCCAGTTGGTGAGGAGGTTTGTAATTTCGTTTGTTCCATTGTGCATGCTCAGTTCAAACATTTGGACGGGTCCATTCTGGCTGGAATCGACTGAACGGCGGCTCAGAAGCTGGTAAGTTGGTTTCATGAGCCACGAGGGGGTCGAAATGGGCATTTCAACAATACACTCCCCGCCAAAAGTGCGGATCAGCTGGTCGCCGCGCACATCCAGCATCCAATCCTCCCGCCATCATATCTACCCAGACCTTAAACTGTCACCGAGCCGAGAAACCAGTTACGCCATCAGTCATGTTCGGCCTCAAAAACTTTCGAAATCCACAGGGAAGGAGCGATGAAGTTGACATCAATGGTCCGTGCCCTGGGTCGCTGCCAGTTTGGGCAACAGAAACAGACGGGTGGAACTGGCGCTTGAGCCTCCCCACACTACCTACAGGGCCCTGAAGCTTCAGTGGATCTCTCCCCCGCATCGGACCAACACAGTGCAGCGATGCAACGCGCACCACGCAGAATGAGAAAGGATCCAAACCATCCCAACTCGGGCATCGTGTCAGTCAGATCCTGAAAACATCGGATGACTAACGACAGAATAGGGGCTGATGCCTAGTTGCATCGTCTTTGTTGACATCACCTTTTCGTGCCAGCTTCACGATAACTCCCTCGACCTTCCTGTTGCCAACACGAGCGTACTGCCGCTTCTGCCTGGTAGCGTCTGCCTAATTGAAGCCAATTCTGCATACATCGTCATGTTGATGGATAAAGGCATAAAACGCCTGCTCCCACCTGCCTCCCTTTCCCTCATTCTCATCGCCACCTCAACTGCCGCTGCCCGACAAGCACCCCTTCAAATCATCTTCAATCTCCAGAACTCATTCCAGTCTTTCCGCACAATGACTTCCTCAATCGCCTCGTGGTCATCCCCGCCTCACCGCTCCCGCATCCGGATCGTCCAGGATCGTGATGACATCGAGGCAATCTACCCCCTTCTCGCATCATACGCCCTCACGCCAGATTCCGCTTCATCCGTCACCGAGATTGCAATTGACCCTGCCGGCTGGCCAAGCGGCAGCAGCTGCTTCTTTGGTGACCCCGACGCCCCCCTCACCGAGCCCGCCAAGCCCGTTGATGAAGCAGCCCACACCTTCCTCGAAGGCCGCGTCCGGGATCTAGGGCTGGGTGAGAAGACGACACAGGTCATGCTACGGTCCCTGGCCTGGAAAAAGGCCCACCTCCTTGCCCAGAACCCCGATTCGCCAAAAGGCTTCGTCAAGCATAACAAGCTCTACGCCGAAGTCGCTGCCGTGCTGTTACTATCTTACACCAGAAAGGTCACCCACCTGCTCGTCGGCAACCTGGAATGGACCCCCCTTTTGAAAGAGTACCTCAAAAAGTCAAACTACGCTCTCATCCCCGCCGACTACCGCGCCTTCCCGCAGCTCGAGACCGTCGAGGTCGTCGACCTGTCGTGGAAGGACGACGAGCGCCACTACTATACCCTGGAAATCCTCGAGTATCTGCACTACTTCCACCGTCTGCCCAGCTTCAGAAACCTCATTCTCGACGGCACCGGAGAGTACCAGATGGAGAATCTCCTCTTCCCCGCTGGGACGTCCTCTCCCTCGTTCAAGCGCATCCAGGCGAGGTGCACAGACATTTCTGGCGGCGTCTTGGGAATGCTCCTCAGAGCGCCCAAGGGTCTGGAGGAAGTCGTCGTCTCGATGGGCGGGCTGTGGTTCCTGGACGGAGGGAGCCCGATTGTCCAGCTGAAGACGATCGGCAAGTGTCTTCTCACGCAGAAGGAGACTCTCCGCGTACTTGACCTCGACCTTGAGAATGGCATTCACGCGCGCGAGTCGGAAGAGGAAGCTGGGATGGAAGACTACAGTCTCGACGAAGAGGGCGAGGAAGTCATTGGGGTGACCGAGGCCACGCTCGAGAAGGACGAGTACTTCCTCCTCGCCGAGGCCGAAGCAACCGGCCCGCTCCTCCCACACAGGATCCCGGATACGAGGAAGTACGGGTACACCATCGGCTCCTTCCACGACTTCGCAGCCCTCACGCACCTGAGCATCAACGTTCAGGCGCTCATGGGCCCCAACGACGGCTGGAAACCCCCGTATAAGCTGAAAGAGGAGCCGCCCTTCCGGCTTGTCGATGCGCTGCCGCCCAGCTTGGAGTACCTGTGCCTGTATGGGTACCGAAAGGGGGAGAACTTTGCAGTTGACAGCCATGTGAAGGAGCTGTTGGAAAAGAAGGCGGAGAGGCTGCCGCAGTTGACAGAGATCAGGGGTATCGAGGAGACGGTTCTCGGCGAGGGGGCGAGCTTTGGGGGCAGTCCCGAAGAGGACGATCTCTATCAGGGAAAAGTAGAGAGGATAGAATACGTCAAATCATGGGAGAATTAGCAGCTTAGCGAGCGAGGCCTAGAACAAGACTCATGAGAACGTAAACTCTGCCTCATATATCAGAACATCGTGATCGAGGTCTGCCCCTCAGTCATCTTGCAGCTCATCCCCAATGTAAACAACTCACAAAACCCACACAGCAAAGATCCCAAGCAGACCCAGAACAACCAGGACACCGTAGGGTTAAGCCTCTTGTAGAAGGAAAAAGGCGGAGATTTCTAGATTTGCGGACTCTTCATGCCGGTTGCCAGAACGTCTTGTACTCAACTCTCTTGTTTGGTTCCGTTTCCTGCGCCGCAGAGCTGATGTAACCGACTCAAACCCAAAAGGGAAAAAAAAATGAAAAGGGCACGACAAGACTTTAGGCAGAATAAGAAGAAACCGCCAAGTCGTCGCCAACTCGTGTTGGAGGCTTGTTCTGTTGTCGCGCTTGCTTTAGGCAAAAGCATTGTGACCCAAAACAGCTCCTTGACACGCGATTGGACGTGGCTATCAAGTGGTTGCTGTGCCTCCTCCCAGCATGTTTAATTGACCGAACAAGACGTCTAGAAGCGTGGTCACTTTCTCTCGTGACTATTAATCTTGGCATGCGTCATTATGCCGCTTCTTTTGTAGAGTTGTCGCGTTTGGATGGGGTGTGCCCCTTTTCTACTTCAAGCGAGCTGAGAATGCGTGTAACATTGCAATCCGCTGGGGTTAAGATGGAGAGGGAGTGAACGTCTTTCAGCCTTGGTATAAGACAAGAATTATTCCAAACGGTATTACTTATATTACAGAAATCTTCGCTTATCATTGTCCCTCTGGCTGAAGACACTTGGGGAAACTTATCACCCTCAAAACTCCCAGCCACTGGGAGCTGACGAGAACAACCACAAGACAGGGGAGGCCCGAGCAAGTAACCTCCGTTCCCACGGGAAGCGTTCCCGCATTGCCGGAAAGACCCATGCAGCCGTCCATCATGGAGCTCAGCAGCTACCCCTGTATCCCGCACCAACAAAAGCCACGGTGTAGCCCATGTGATCATACGCCTCAATCTGGCAGTACGAGTCGAACTCGCTTCCGTCGATGCTGATTCCAGGCTTCTGCAGGCACTGCGCAAATGGTTAGTATGGCCTAACATGATTTCAGTACATGGGGTCAATGGCGTACGGTGCCGCTGTCGACGGTTCCCTAATGTCATGTCAGCAAAGATAGAGCGGAGATCGGGATGGCAGATTGGAACGCACTCGGTTGCCAAAGTAGGCTTTGCACGTGTTGACAGTAAGGTCTTGGTCGTAGAATCACGGGCCGCCCTCGTCGTACTGCACGCAGCAGTTGTGTCTGGTGTGGTCTGGGTGGGCGCTGTGCTTGTTATTAGTCGACGCGCTGTCGGTGGCGTTTCCTGTGGCTTTACTTACACGACAGCAGCGGCCGCGGCAAGGGCAAGGTATCCGACACGCATCTTGGCGATGAAGAGTCCTTCAATCTGATAATTGGAAATATCAAGGAAAGAGAGATGAACAAGATGCTATCCACATGATGGTCAGAAAAGCAGGCTGCAACGCTACGTTAAATAGTTCGCCAGTGATGCGGGCTTGTGTTTACGAGTTAACGGGAATACGGCTTTGGAAGAAATTCAAAAGTTCAAACTTAGACCGCTTCTGGAACATCGTTAGCAGTTGTTAAATTGAATAAATGTTGCATGATCATTTTGCAAGGCGCCCAGATCGTAGTCCCGACGGCCGGTTGGCTGGGCCAATGCGCGCAACGATGGCATAATACGAGAAGGGTAATCTCGCCCTCTTCTATCCCAAGGCAGCTCTTGATTTGATGGAGAAATCTTCATGTGTGAGCACAGGCCTATCCGTAGACTGGCCCTACCCGAGTATCCGTAACAACGCTTAGCACGACTTGTGATGCCGAATATAGTGGACCCCGAAATGATGTAGTTTGATGATTTACGGTCCTCATTAACGAAGAAGGCCAGATTTGCGGACACTAAGTGGGTTTTGTGACCGACCATGACGGCTCTGAAAGTGGCCTGGTCAGATGAATCTGTGTCTTGCCGTTGATCCGATACACACTATGGATGCCGACGGAGCTGGGGTCGTTTAAACTTGCAAACCTCGTTCTACAGCCTCAATACCGAGAAGACGCTTATGACATCTATTTTCAACTGTCTTTAGACCTCAAATGCGTGCCAGATTGGACGCAGATGCTCGGACCGCAAGAACAAACAAAGAGTTCCTGTTCATACGCACTGCTGAGACTTGTGTCACGTAGACTCGCGGAGCTAAAGACTGGCGTGGAACTTCATGAAGGCACGTCCCTGGTCATCCCATCGGACGTCCATCAAAAAATCGTCTGAATTAATGCTCCATCACACTCGGTTCAGTCGACTAGTCCGTGCATGAAAAGCTTGTCTGCACTTCGCTTGATATGCCGCGGAGTCCGCGGCCCTTAGCGCTATTCGACGATAATCCAACCTTGTTCTTGACTCAACGTACAGTCTCTTTTGAATAAGTACACATGACCAGCGCCCACAACCCGCAACAGCGAATCTTTATTCATATTCTAGCCCAGTCTTTGAGCAAAGACGGCCAACGCAATGGCAATAGCCGGCAACAGCAGCATAACCAAAACCAGCCCCGGATCCAGCTCCTCCAACGCCAACTCGCCGCTTGCTGACAGCAAGCTGAGCGGGAAGCTCGGCGGGACCGCTCGACGACGCCTCTCCACCCTCTCCAGCAGCCGCCGCCCAACCTTGGGAATCTCGACGACCAGACGGTGGCGGTAGACCTCGGCCTTGTGGCGCACATACAGCGTCTGCAGCTCCGCGTCATACGACCAGTCCCCGTCGCTAACCTTAGCCTTGATCCCGCCCTCATAATGATACCTCGGTATAAACACCTCCGTCGTGCGCAGCTTGTCGTCCTGCTCCTCGCCCACGCGGTCCTGGCTCGTCCACTCGAACTCGTACTTCAGCGTGCGCGGGTCCCAGTCCGATCGCAGCGGCCGGCCGGCGATCTTAACAGCGTACGGCCGGATCACGACGTCGAGCACGCGCCCGCCGCGGTACAGCTCGTCCTTGGCGTGCGGCGCGTTCGCGTAGTCCTGCATGATGCGCCCGGGCACCTCCTCCGCGTCGCCGTTGACGACGGAGAAGTCCTCCTTGTTCCAGCCGTCGCCGTACTCGACGCGGTTGTCCGGGTTGTAGTTCCACAGCGTGAAGCCGACCATGTTGTCCTCCATCGCGGCGATGAGGGCGTGCATGAGCTCGCGCTGCTTGTCGTAGTTGCCCGTGGCGAAGGCCTCGCCGCCGTTGATGTCGTAGGGGATGCCGACCTCGCCGATGAGCGCGGGCACGTGGTCGCCGAGAGAGGCTTTGCCGTATTTGATGATGTTGCCGAGCTGCGCGCGGTAGTTCTTCCTCAGTGCCCGCGCGCCAAAGTAGAGCGCCTTGAGGATGAACATGCCCCTGGAAAGACCCTGCACGTTGACGCTCATCCATGAGTGGTGTTTGCTGAATAAGACGTTGAGGTCGTAGAAGTGAGGCCCGAAGACGAGGTTATCTGGTCGTTTTGTGTCGATGACTGTCTTTGTGGCGTAGTTCTGCTTCTTTGGACTTTTGGCTTCTCCTGAATTGCCATCTACCCAAGGAGGCATGAATTCATTCGGTATTGGCTCGATAAAACAAAATTGACGTGGTGATTTCCGTGAGACACGGTCTGAGAAGCGCTTTAGAAAAGGGGCGTAGAAGTCGCGGTACCATTCAATCGGCGTCCCCTCGCGTCCGGGGCGGTGATCGACCTCGAAATAGTTCTTCCGGAGTACCTTTGGTTTCTTGTTGGATGCGTCCCAGTCCCATGCTCCGTGAGCACGCCATACGCACTCGCCCAGTCCTAGGTTCTTCCCCTTGGACGTCAACCAAGCTGACCGGCCCTTCGGGTCCACGACGGACCGATGAGAGATTCGTGTGGGAAATGGCCATGACTTTACGTAGTAGTCCACCTCTTGTGCGTAGCCACTAGCTAGGGCGAGAGCCTGCGTCAGTGACGGGTAATGGCCGATGTGAAGATCTGTGTCGTAGTTCCAGCCATCGAAGCCATGCAGGTTGATCAAGCCACGATGTGGCTCGTTCATCGGTTCGAAGCCGATGCAGGCTTCCAGGTCAGCCACTTCATCCGCTAACCGTCCAAAAGCTTCAATCAGCGCATCCTGCAAGAAATCCTTCACTGAAACCGTTTCATCTTTGCCTGATTTAGTCTGTCGGCTGCATACCAACTTCGGCGCAAACACATCTCCCGCCCAGAAGAGCGTCGCCATTGTCGATGCAGCCAGCTTCTGGTACCCTGACGGCCACACGAACGGGCCACTCGGCTCCTTCTCATTCACCGGCGCAGTCGCGCGGCGCAGCTCATCTTGCCCGTGGACATATGCGGCCCCCGTGTCCGTGAACGCCTCAACGTCCAGGCCGGCCACCTCAAATGTCCATCCAGGTGCACCGCTGCCGCCGCTGAATCTGCTCCAGACGTCCTGGTGCGCGCAGATGAAGCACTTTATGCCGTACGTGGGCATCATCTCGACGAGTTGGCGCAGGTACTCGATGTACTCTAGGTCCAGGTCCGTCCGGGGGTCCGGACCGGCGTGGCCGATAGATTCCCATGTGACAAGCAGCCGGATCAGCGGCAGGCCCCAGGCCTGCAGCCGGCGGAAATGCAGCGGTGCATCCTCAAGCGGGAACGGCCGGCCGACGAACGTGACGGTCCGGTGCTCGAAGAAACCCTCGGTGAGGTGAGACAGGCCGTTCGGCGCGGTGGGCAGCTTGCTGGCCCCGGATATGTTGAGACCGTGCAGCGCCAGAGTCCGACCGTAGCCGTCGACGAAGAGACCATCTTTCAAGGCAATTGGGCCTCCCAGGGCCGCGTCGGAGAGGTCGTTGGCGGCATGGGATGCCGTCGGTTGAATAGGCATTGACATGGTTGATTGTTTCGTGGGACACGAATCAACTCGTTGGTCGGTTGTGGTGTCTCATTGCGCGTATTGATAGGTTGCTGGAAAGGGTCCCCTTGCAGATAGGACAGATTCGTTGGTTTTCATCTTAGTCAGCGGCTTCAGCCACAGCACATGATGGCCGTGCATTGTTCAAAGCCATTTCTGGATTATGTGGGTTTCTGGAGCTGGGGAACAGCTGTGAGTTGGATGAAATTCCGTCTCAGTACACGATGTTGACAATCTCTGCAGAGCAAGAGGTTTTGAGGATCTGGCAATGATTACTGTTAGCAACTCGCATTCACATGTAGAAAACGCCCTGGCTTAGCACCCGTCCCTGACGGTAATCTGTACATGGAAATTGAGCTCCGAGGCCCCACTGATCACCGCTGAAGGTTTCCCCCGTCACGTCATCTGGAACACCGACATCGTCTTGAAGACTGCGTATTAATTGAAATGACACCCCCGAAATCCATGGACAACGAAACGACGTTTGTTCCTGAAGTGTTTGATTCAGGACATACAGTATAGCGTTTTCAACTTCTATCTTCTGCTGGTCCCGTTAACAACAGCGTATGTCGTTCAGACGCAGAAGAACAATTACCTGTCGTCAAGTGAGAAATGGTTACATTTCCGAGGCATACAGATTAATTGCTGTCATGATCTAGAGACGACGACAGAGTACGGGTTGCCACAATCGATTCAGCGTCAAATGCACGAGCGGGTCAAAGATGGTTGAGGTATTCAAGGACTCTGAGAGGGACGCAGCATCAAAATCGACGACTCATATTACTTCGGCACACCGAATGCGACATCTCCCCGGCGGAGTTTTGGGGTCTTCCCGATTCCGATTCAGGCCCCAATGGTAATTTCCCGCCTGTTACTAAATCGGCGTCGGCGCTTAACAAACCACCGAGATACCTGAATAATGTCTACGATCTCAACCCTTGCGAAAATGGTAGTGTCAAATACTTAGGAAGGTGTCCGAGTCATCTGACAGGTGCGAGGAATCTGACAGCGAATGCGTTCATTCAATCTTTCGCCCAAAGCGTTCGACCAAAATAGTGCCTGTAGGCTCCAAAGTAGGCAAATTGAAGAAAGCGCCGTCCAAAGAAGTCCGAAACCAATGCGGCCTTTTTTATGAGACAAGCAGCAACCGTTTCAGTCGAGCCGAGGGGAGCAACCCTCTAGACTTCGAATTTGTTGTGGGGCTCGTGTCAACCCAAGGTGGCGGGACCATCGGAGAATAGCCGACAAGACAAGGAGGACAGCTCCGAGTCGGCAGGCCGAGTTGCGGGCAGCTCCATCAGATAATCACACGGGCGCAAAGCGACGCCTGAGATAGATTGATGCTTGATGTGGTCTGCGCCTCGAGGCCTGCGATGAAATGCAATCACCGTGGCCTTACCACGTATGAATAAAAACCACCTTGTGAGAGCTGGCTGCAGCTTAGCCTGCGTGTGAGTGGTA